CAAGCCAACCTAAATACAGTAACCCGACGGTCCCGACCAAAATTTTAAGATATTTGTGTAGAGGAAGTGACTCGAATCAATTCTCGAACTTGATATATTTATGTACTCGAAAACAAAATCATGTGCATACAATTGGAGAAACCGAGGATTATAAGGAGTATTCGTTCAAGATTATTTTCTTAATAGACAAAAGAAAATATATTGCCTGATTGAGATTAGATATAAACGTCCTGATAGATGATCCTATATATCATGACATCAAATAACTATTTCATTACATCCCCGACCAAGGTTATGTAAGAAGTTTGCATTATATAGAAGATATCATATTTTAATCTCAAATCAAGACACAAACGAATCGAGTGGGAGGAGTGGATAAAAGCTTGCTCAAGAAAAAGGTGATAAAATCGCCAAGGCGTATGATTGATTTAACATAGTAATTTCACTTCACTGAGTTGTATTATAAAAATTGTTATGTCATTTTCTAGTTGCAAAAGATCCTAAATATGTTATTTTAACTCGTAGGCCGCCCTGTAAAAAAATAATCATAGACCTATATGGCTATATTTTATAGAGTAAATTCACTGAATAACAATCAAAGAAAAGTTAGTTAGGAAAATGACAATGTACTGTTTGGGTTTAAGTATTTGACAAAAGGATACCTGCAAAAATGAGATGAGCATTTTTTTTTTGCTGTTCTCATGCGAGTGGAGAAGTAAATAGGAGAAGAAGTTGAAATGATGAAATATTTTGCATTAAATGCAATTTTTAATGATTTTCTCATTAATACCAAAAATTGATATCATCATTTCATACTCTTTCATTTTCTCTTTCCTTTCGGTTTTTCTGTTTTTCATTTCATTTTCTTCTTATCTCTTTCTTCTTTATTTTTCTTTCCACAAAATCAGATCCGAGTGAAATAACACCGACAAATTTATTATATGGAACAAAATTACCACAGATCCGAGTCATGTCCAACAACGCAAACTCACCACCACTCCGAATCACCACCAAAACCAACATGACGCCGAACTGAGTTGACACAGTGATCCATGCAATCTGCGAATAAGGTCTAGGTTGGTATTCTTACATAGAAATTTGACACGTATGTATTGTAATTTACTAAAAAATGATTTTGTCAATTTACAAATTCACTTTATATGTTAATTGTGCATGTCAATGTTTTTGGATAACGAGATATATTTAATTTTAGTGCACTAAGAAAATAGAAAACTCATTTACAAAGGATGTTTTATAATTTAGTTACCCGGTTATGTAAACAATTAGAAGTATATTTTTATGTTTATATGCRACACTAAATAGTAGASCATYTTACYCAGACACGTAARTTGTTATTTTAACTATACATGTATATTTTCGCATAGATGGTTACTATAGTGTACATATTTAATTACCTTGTTATGTAAAAAGTTAACAGTACAATTTTATATTTATATGATATATTAAACATTTTAACAGACTATAAAATCACATAACGTGCTATACTTTGTGAGTATTATGTTATGCGGTTATGCATTACTGCTAGAATAATGCATTTAATGCATGTGTCAGAAGGAAAAAACAGAGTGGATCGCATGAGGACAATAGCGGAAGAATCGGTGGTAAAATATTCTTTTTTATGTAACAACGAAATGGGTCTTGTCATTTACTTAATTTGCCCATTCTTTATTGTTATTCTCCAAATTGACTCTATTTTATATTT